TTCATAATGGAATGCTCGAAGGACAGGAAAAAGAAATAGTCAAATATAATATTCAGCAGATAGCTAAAAATATTGTCCCATGGTGGGATGTTGATAAATGGGAAGAGTCAGAATTAATAGATATCCTTGAGAAGAAATATACGGAAGAAGGAATATCTCTAGAAATGTCTCCAGAAAAATATAATAGACCTTTTGGATTCGGAGTAAAACAATTTATAACCAAGTTCCTTTTTGATGATGCAGATACGTTGATATTTGTCTGATAAGTACAGTATTTTTCTAGATTAGTGTAAACATAGATATTATATATACAGTCAACTCTCTATAAATGCACCCTCTATAAGTGCACACCCTCTTTAAATGCATTCAATAGCTCAGTCACTAGTTTGGACCTTAGTCTTAAATGCACACCCTCCTCCCTATTTGCACTGTACCACAATTTTTTGATCCAGACTATATATGTAGTATTCTCTATAAATGCATTCATGTGATTACGGAATATTTTGTCTCACAGTTACAACTGGAAGATTAGATATTAGATCAATAATCGTAAAAAAAAATTCTTATAATATAAAAGGAGTACATTTTCCTATTTTTTTCAGCCTATATCCGTAATTCCTTCACATATTGGAGGTTTCGTTATCATCTTCGTATCCTTTCCCTATATTTTGAAGTTTCAAGATAAGAAATGAATTTAAAGAATTCAAGCATAAAAAAGCATAAAGGAATCCAACAACTTCACCAATCCAATAATTTCGTCAACTTCAACCCCGCCGTTTAATTTTGAAAAATAAAAAAAACCTGAATTTTCCCACAATCAAATGCAATTTTTGATGATTTTCCTAAAAGATGTTGCCATCCCTTTTTTTATTTAAATGAATATTGTGATACCATATTCGCGTTTTATTTTAAAACTATTATAAGCGTAGTGTAAACTTGTTGTCTTCTTTTCTGATGTCACTTCCTACAAAAAAAAAAGTAACTCTTTAAGTTCTCAAAATTATGAACTTTGTTTATATGCTGATAAGAATAATAAAACACGAGCTCAATATATAGATTGGATTGAAAAAAATGGGGTGTTAGGGTTAATGAGTCTACTATAACACGAATTTTACAAACCAAGAATAAATGACTTACCACTGAACTTACTCAACCAGAACAGAAATATCACAAATCCGTTACATTTCCTGAATTAGAACTTGCTCTTAAAGAATTTGTATTAAATTATCAACACCAGACAATTTTAAGTGATGCAATACTAATTGAAAAAGCAAAATTGTTAGCAAATGGATTGGAAGTTTCTGAAGATGCCTTGAAATTTTCTTCCGGTTGGCTTCAAAACTTTAAGAAATACAATGGAATTCGTTAAGAAAAACTTCAGGGAGAGGCGGCATCTATTGATCAAGCTGTTATTACTGAATTTTTGCCATTATTGTGTAACAAGTGTTCTAATTATCCTCCTGAGCGAATTTACAATATAGATGAAACGGGTCTATTTTACCAGTATATATTTTTTTTATATTTTATTTAATATCACATTTGTATTAATGTAATACTTTTTATAGATTAGAACCAGACCGAACTTTAGCTACAAAGTGTCTTTCTGGACGTAAGAAAAATAAGAAATGCTTTTCTATTGCTTTGTGAGCAAATACTAATGGGTCACACAAATTGTCTTCTCTAATAATTGGAAAATATGCAAAGCCATAATGCTATAAAAATGTTAATATTTCTAATCTTCAAATAACATATAGAAGTAATCCCAAAGCATGGATGTTTACAACCCTCTTTCAAGAATAGCTTCAAGAATTTAATTATTTAGTTATTCAAAAACATAAAGGCAAATGAGTTTTGCTTCTATTGGATAATTGTCCAAGTCATAATTTACAAGGTTTAACTCTTTTACATATTGATGTTTATTTTTACCTTCCAACACGACTTCAAAGATTCAACCAATGGATGTGGGAATTATTATGTCTTTTAAAAGACATTATCGTCATTTACATATTCGGTAAGTTTTTATTTATAATACTTTAGTTTTAATTATAATATAATTCTAATGCTACTTAATGTGAATTTCATTAGAGAATTTTATCAAAAAATGCATTGGAAAAAAGGGTTTTTTTAAACAAATACTAATATTATTTTAATTTTAGTTGGATGTTAGAGCAAATTGAGGCTAGTGAAGATATACGAGATTTAAAAATGAATGTTTTACAAGCAATCTGATATATTGTCTGGTATCATACTGAAATTCTTTCTCCTGATACTGATGATATTGGATTACATAATGAAGTCGATGAAACTGATAATTTAATACTTGATGAACTTTGTAATAGACTTAAAATCCTTCATCTCCTTCATCTTTCTAATACAATGCAAATAAAAGAATTTCTTACTATACCTGAAGAAGACATTACTTATGAAGTTCTTGAAGATGATCAAATTATTGTAGAGCTTGTAGATATTTTTAAATCTGGTAACAATAATACTAATAATTTGGATGAAATAGATGATAGTACTAAAATTCCAACTATTAGTACTAATGTAGCATTTAAAAGCTTAGAAAATATTTGCACATTTTTACTTCAACAAGAGGAGGATACAAATGAATATATAAAGTTAATGGGTATAATCGAAAAATTTATTAGGAAGCAAAAAATAAATTTAATGCAACAAACAACTATTGATCAATATTTTAATTGATAATTGTTTTATTCAAATAAAAATATAATAATAAAGTTAAAATTTTGATATTAATTGACTTTTATTTAGTTATTATTAATGTTTATATTATATAAATATATATTTCTTATAAATGCATACCCTCTATAAATGCACACTAATGTCTGGTCTCAAAGGGCAGTGATGTATATTTTTGATGTCCCAAACATTTTGAGACTGTCCCACACTATGTCCCAAAATGTCTCACATTAAGTCCTAGTGTCCCAGGCCATGTCCCAAAAATGTCCCATGACAACACTACCAAGGGGGGTGCATTTATAGAGAGTTGACTGTAATTCCTGATGAAATTAAAATGCAAATAGCTTCTCACTTTCAAAACATTGCTGTATCAACAAATAGAGACGTATCAACTATTCAGTCACATAACTTCAATTCAAATTGGAACAATTAGGAATGTCATTACGACCCTATTGATACCATCGATAATGGTTGCTATGATGGCATCATAAACATCTCACTTACAATGAATGGTTAACAACATTAAAATACTTACTGGACAACAAAGCCTCTGGCCCTTCAAAAATTACAAATGAAATGCTTAAGAAACTTGGTCCAAAAATGAATCAGTTCTTATACACTATCATATGTGCCTGCTTTATTAGTTCTTTTACTCCTGCACAATGGAATCTTACTTACATATACCTGATTTCTAAACCAAAACCTTGGAACTGTAAGATAGATAACACATATCCCATTACCCTTTTGGATACAGTGAGAAAAGCATTCGTAAATATTTAAACCAAAGACTACAAGATGTTTTTATAAAGAACAACATACTCAAAGGCCTTAACTTTGCTGGTTTACCTCACCAATCTACCATGGACCCATTACACATAGTTAATAATATTCTCGAATACCATCGTTTGAATAACAAATTTGACAAATCCAATCGTACTAACTTATATATCCTCTTTCAAGATATGTCTAAAGCCTATGATTGTGTTAACATTTATATGCTCAGAAAAGTGATAGCAAGATTAAAAATTCCTTCTGAATTCACTAACGTTATTATAAATCTTTTTTTGAATCAAAAAACTCAGTTTTTACCACATATGGCAATACAGATCCTTATGATGTTATCGTTGGAATTGATCAAAGAGAAGTTATTTCTTCCTTACTATAGTTCATTTATTATGACCCTCTTCTATCACGTATTCAAAAGTCTAATTACAGATACAAAATGTCTTTTTCTTAGTAGCCAGACATCACCAAAACTGACATATTTGAGATCATTGCACTATACTAAACTCCACCTACATGGATGACACAATATGGATTACGAATAGTTTGACCAATCTCACTGCTATATTCGACATTGCCCAATCTTTTTTTGACCTGAATTCAATGAAAGTCAATCATGAAAAATCTTTTATTCTCACTTCCGAAGCAACTGAAATAGATATTTCAATATTCAGTAAATTTCTCAACTGACCTGTATCTTTTCTAACAAAAAAACCTTTTAAATCAACAAGATATTTGGGTGTTTGGATCTCTGTAAATTACAATAAATCATATATCAAACTACAAATCAAAGATGAAATCGCTGACTTTATCTTAAAACTAAAGTATAAACCCTTGACTGACAAACAACTCAAATATATCTTCAACATGATTCTTATTTCTCGTATTGAATATTGATCCCAATTAGTGATTTTCTCTTCTAAAGAATGTCATGCCATATTTTCTCAAGTTCAAATTTTTCTCAAACACAAACTAAAATTTCCTAAATCCACTCCTAATAGTATATTGAATAGTAAACTTACAAATAAATGGCTTTAACGATTTTGCTGCCAATATGATACATTCAAAAATTCAACATTTTGCTATCATGATAAATGGGAATACTGCTTCATTTTTACTCGCTAAGACTACAGAGATTAGACTTAAACAATTGCAAAATTTTTACTAGCTTTATGATAAACCTTTAATCTGCTGGTCTGCGCAGCTAAATAACCTTTAACATGATAACTTTCTTGAAAATATTATATCGTACTATCTTCAATCCAATATATCTTTTGCTAATACTAACTTCAATACTGATAAATTTGCAATCAAAGGGGGTAACTCCTCTTCAGAAAATTATTCCTTGGAAAAAAAGTGGATTAGTTTACTGCGACACAAATTGATCTTCTTTTTAGATCAATTATTATGCAATGGAATTTTCTTATCGCAATTTAGAGATCTAGCAATACAAGTCAACAATGATCACAATACTATCAAAGGAAGTTATCTACAATGGTTCTCTTATTTAGAACAGACCATTCTAATAAATCCTGTACATTCAAACAGAATCAAAGAATAATATATTATCACACCATTCACCCCTTCAGGTTTCAAAACATCATTTCCTTTAGATTCTAACAAACTTTCTGATTGGGTTGCTCTATGGATTCCTCCTGAATCAAACTATTATAATTTTCCATATCCTGGGCAAACTATATTTGGAAAATCTTTTAAATCTCCTCTTTTTCCAGACAAGGTTCTTTTCCAGTATTTTGTCCCTTCAAATTTAACTGCC